AGGATTTTTTTCCATCCTTTAACTTTGAGTCTATTTTTATCTTTTGTAGTTAAATGTGTTTCCTGGAGACAGCAAAAGGTTGGGTTTTGTTTCTTAATCCAGCCTGCAGCTCTTTGTCTTTTTATTGAAGAGTTTAGTCCATTTACATTTAGTTAATATTGATATGTTAGTGTCTGTATTTGCCATTGTGTTTGTCTTTCCTTTGATTTTATTTATTTATTCTTTTAATAACTTTTTTTTGGCCTTGTTTCGTTGTTATTCATCCCTTGGTTGGTTCTGGCTTTAGGACTCCTTGTAGTATTTTTTGGAGTGGGGGTTTAGTCATAATGAAATTCCAGAGTTTCTGTTTGTCTGGGAAGGTCCTTATTCTTTCTTCATAGAGGAAGGAAAGCTTTGCCGGGTAGAGTATTTTTTTTTTTTTTAAGATTTATTTATTTATTTATACAAGCACTGGGTACAGTCAGAAGTACGGGAGGGTGAGAGAATTCACCAGAGCCAGAGCAGGGAGCAGAACAGGCAGAAGGACCAAAGTACGCTGCTGAGGGGAACAGCGGGCAGCAGGAGAGGTCTGCGTGCCATGTGGGACCCTCCTCTGGTGGCTGGGGAGCAGCCGGGGATCGAACCGGAGCTGCAGAGGCTGCAACCCAGCGCTCAACTGCTGCGCCACCGGTGAGGCCCCATGGGATAGAGTATTCTTGGTTGGCATTTGTTGTCATGGAGTCTGTTGACTATGTCCCTCCATTCTCTCCTTTCCCATAGTGTTTCTTCGGAGAAGTGTGATGTCAGCCTGATTGGTTTTCCTTTGTATGTTATCTGTTTCTTCCCTCTTGTCATCTTCATTTTTTCCTTGTCTGGATTTTTGGGAGCTTTACTATTGTGTGACTTGCTGTATTTTTCCTTTCATCTTGGAAATTTGGTGTTCTTGCTTCTTGTATGTCTATTTTCAGTTCTTCCTTCATGTTTGGGAAGTTCTCTTCAATTATTTCCTTGAAAATTTTCTCTGTTCCTAGGTCTCTGTCCTCTCCTTCTGGTATTCCTATAACATATTTCCTTTCCTCATGGAGTCAGATAGTTCCCGAAGTCTTTCTTCATTCTTTTTCATTCATACTTCTCTTTCCTTTTCTGTTTTGGTTCTTTTTATTTCTGTGTCTTCGAGAGTACTTATTCATTCTTCCATTTCATTTATTCTGCTATCACTGCTTTTCCCAGAGTTCTTTAGCTCCTCCATTAATCCTTTGATCTCCTGCATTTCTTTCACTACCCTCTTTAAGGACTCAATTTCATTCTTCTGATCGTTGATTATTTTTCCTTACCATTGTTTTCCTTTATGATTTTTGCCAGTTTTTTTATTTTTTTATTTAAATTTTATTTTTATATTCCCCATACAATTACAACCCCCTAATTTTGATCCCAAGCCCTCCTTTCCCCACCCCCCTCCCACATAGAGTGTCTCTGGTTCATAGTTGTTTGTTGATTTTGATTTTTTCCTTCTTATAGTTATTTTTTTTCCTGGTCCCTTTTTTAGGTTTTCTCGATTCCTGCTATGAGTGACACCATCCGGTATTTTTCTCTATCTTTCTGTCTTATTTCGCTGAGCATGATCCCTTTCAGCTCCATCCATGTTGCTGCAAATTGCATGTGTTTATCTTTTTTGATTGCTGAGTAATATTCCATTGTGCATATGTAGCACATCTTCTTGATCCAGTCATCTATTTTTGGGCATTTGGGTTGTTTCCAAAGCTTAGCTATTGTAAATAGTGCTGCTATAAACATAGGCATGCAGGTGCCCTTTGGAATTACTGTTTCTGTGTCATTTGGGTAAATACCTAGGAGTGGAATTGCTGGATCATATGGAAGCTCTATGTTTAGTAGGTCAAGAAATCTCCACACAGCTCTCCATAGTGGTTGGACCAGTTTGCACTCCCACCAGCAGTGCAGGAGAGTTCCTTTTTCTCCAAAACCTCACCAACTTTTGTTGTTGCTAGTTTTTTTAATATGTGCCATTCTCACTGGTGTAAGATGGTACCTCGTTGTAGTTGTGATTTGCATTTCCCTGATTACAAGTGATGTTGAACATTTTTTCATGTGCCTGTTGGCCATTTGCATTTCCTCTTCAGAGAAGTTTCTTTTTAGCTCTTCTGCCCATTTTTTGAGTGGGTTATTTTCTTTGTTGTTGTGAGTCTCATCAGCTCTTTGTAGATTTTTGTCATCAGTCCTTTATCATTAGTGTTGTGTGCAAAAATGTTCTCCCAGTCGGTGGGGTTTCTCTTTGTTTTGGTTATTGTCTTTTTTGCTGTGCAGAAGCTCTTTAATTTGATGTAGTCCCAGCTGTTCATCTTTGTCTTCACTATCACTGCTTTGGGTGATGTGTCTGTAAAGATGTCTTTGATGTGCATATCACATAGTGTTTCGCCTAAATTTCCTTCTATGTATTTTATGGTTTCAGGTCTTATATCTAGTTCTTCAATCCATTTGGAGTTGGTTTTTGTGCGTGGTGATTTTTGTCAGTTTTTTAATCATGGCAATTTTAAATTCTCTTTCTGGAAGGCTCAGAAGTTCTTCCAAGTCACTGATGTTGCAATCTGGTGGGTGATTTTCATTTTGTGGTGTGTCTTTTCCCTGAGGACTTGCTTGGTTGTATGTAGTTCTTCTTCTCCCTGCTGCTTGTTTTCTAATTTGTCCTATACTTTGGGACACTGTGTCTCTGGTACTGGCCGACATCTTTTTGGTGCGCTCTTTCTGGGTTGTCGGAAACTGGTGGTCCAATCGAGTCAAATGCTGTTATGCCACAAGTCCAGTAGGGTAGTGGTACTATGAATATGTTAATGGTCACTGTCACAGAATATCTCCTCCTTCTGTATTTGTTTAATTCCAAAGATGTGTCTTTAAGTCCCACAGATTGCCATGGAGGTGGGGTGGCTATATTGCTCGCTGGACTCCAAATCACTGGATCCCCCTCTGGGCTTCAACTCCCTGCCAGGCAGGGTCTGGCTTGAGGGGGCTTCCCAGTTCACCTCTGGCTGCGGGGGCAGCCCTCTCCCAGTTCCAAGCAGTCTTGGTTGAAGCAAAGGTCCCTAGTCTCTGGTTTGGTTTTAACTGACACTTTCTTCTGGTTCTTTGTATTCCACATGTAAGTGAAACCATGTGATATTTGTCTTCTATTTCTGACTTACTGTACTTACCATGACCCCCTCCAGTTCCATCCATGTTGTCACAAATGTCGAGTTCATCTTTTTTTTTTTTATTACTCGGAAGTGTTCCATTGTGTATATACACAACATCATCTTAATCCACTCATCTATACCTGGACACTTAGATTTTTTCTATAACTTGGATACTATAAATAGTGCTGCAATGGTTTTTCCCTTTGAATTAGTGCTTTTTCATTCCGTGGGCAGATACCTAGGCGTGGAATTGCTCAATCATAAGGTAGAACTATTTTTAATATTTTGACAACCTTCCATACTGTTTTCCATAAGAACTGGACCAGTCTACATTCTCACCAGCAGTTTTAGAGGGTTCCTTTTTCTCCACATGCTTGTACAAGGCTCTATTTAACACATCCTCCACCCTGTACCTCTGTGACCTCATTTTGTATTGCTTTTGCAACAATCCCTCTCACATTTCTCCCCCAGTGCCAGGTCCCTCTGCCTGGAAAGTTTTTTTTTGCCAGATAGGCATGTGACTAATTCCAAAACTAATTCTTACTTTGGCAGGAGTGGTTATAACTATTACATTAATCCTCTTCAGATATAACTCTGCACTTCTAATGGATTGAGACTTCTCTTGGAGTTTTTTGTTTCTGCATTTATGATGTTTTTCTGTCTCTTCATTTTTAGTTTTTACGAGTTGTAATAGGGAGTTTCCTTCTCTTATCTTAGTAAATTGGCTTTCTATCCCTCTTACAGGAAGCTGGTTATAATCTTAGATTTTTTTACCTAGGATGTCTAAGTGTTTTTTTATTTCACACACTAATGTCCTGTATCTATTCAGGTGGCAAGAGAGCTGGTGCTGGCAAGGGGTAATACGTAGAAAGGACCAGGGGAATAGGGGACATACAGGTTGCCTCTAGTGAGCATCAAGGATTTAAGATTCCTGCAGTACTCTGGGTTTCAGGTTTGTGTGGTGGGGACACAAAGAGATTCCCCCTCCCTTAAATTCCTATTTATTAGACATAAGTTGTGCAATAATACAGAAAAAACATATTAAGGATTAACACATATCAATAGAATCCTTCATCAAAAGGTAAGATTATGGCCAATAGATACACGAAAACATGCTCAGTATCACTAAGCATGAGGGAAATGCAAATCAAAGTGAAAATGAGATAATCTCACACTTGTTAGGATGACTATTATCAAAAAGGCAAGAAATAACAAATTTGGCAAGGATGCAGAGAAAAGGAAATGTTCGTGCACTCGTAGGAATGTTAAATTGATGTTCCCACTATAGAAAACAGTATGGAGTTTCCTCAAAAAAATTAAAAATAAAACTACCACATTATCCGAAGTGGAACTGCTTGAATTGAAGAAAACATGTTCTTTGCATTTAAATATATTCACTAAATAATAGAAAATTAACACTATACACACACACTAACCAGCATTATCTCCGGAAAATCCCTAATTTTCTACCTTAAAAACATTTTAAATAATTTAGATCAAATATTTACATTTTTGGGTCACATTTACTTTTCTGTCAACCTGGAGTCAATTCACAATTAGTCTGGAGAAAAGGGAGCTATTTTGCTACATTACAAAAGTATCATTTTTGAAATTTTAGCATGTTAATATCATTTTGATATTGTTGGCAGTTTAATGTAGATAGATTTTATTTTAAGTGCTGGATATTTTCCCAAGTAAGGGACTTAAAAGTAAGCCATGAAAATATAATGATACCACTTCTCTCCCCCCCCAAATCAAAATCCTTTAATTGTTGTTGATGAGCATCATGTGATTTTGCCCAAAGTCAAGTGACTTTTATTTTATTTTGTCTTTTAGGAAATCAGAACAAAAGCATACAAGAATCTACAGCTTTCTCAGCCTGGTATAGAATGACATTTAAGACACAAGGTAGGTAAATTATGTCTAGTATCAGTTGGCTTTGGGGATGCCCAGGGTTTTTTTTTTCTGTTAATCTTTATTTTGCACTAGAAGGAAAGCACACCTAATTTACACTAGAAAGAAAGTACACCAAATTTAGTATTGAAGTTGGTAGGTGAAAATATTGCTTCCTTCTTTTACATTTTGTTTCTTCTTCTTCTGATATGTTTTACTTAATAGCACCTATAAACTTTGGTTCTTAATATCTCATAGTCACACTTAACTGGAAAAGTAGAATTAGAATTTTGAATTGCTTTTACTAAAAAGTTCATAAGGAGTTTTAAAAGACAATTTTTCCTGTATATAATTACACAATACCAAAACTAGAGAATGGCACTTTCTTTTTTTTTTTTTTTTTAAGATTTATTTTTATTTATTCAAGAACTGGGATACAGGTCAGAGGTGTGGGAGGGTGAAACAATTCACCAGACACAGAGCGGGTAGCAGAACAGGCAGAGAGACAGAAGATGCTGCTGAGAGGAGCAGCGGGCGAGGTAGGCGAGGTCTGCCGTGCCATGGGGGCATCTCCCTGGCCACCGGGAATTGATCCTGCGCTGCAGAGGCTGCGGACAGCTTCACAGTGCTGTGCTCAACCTGCTGCGAGAATGGCACTTTCTTAGTGGAGAAATAGTCTTTCTATAATCAAAACCTGTAGGAATATTCTAATTGCTGATTAAGATCGTAAAACCATTCAGTAACTTTACATGTAAAATTGTATTTATATTATTTTAAAATTAAAATATATATTCTAATCTTAAGCATCTATTGCTCCTATATAATTTTCCAAGACAGTGTTTATGTTTGTAAAAAAAAACAGTTGAGAATTTAACTTAGTAGTCTAAACTCTTACCAGTTTGAATCTGTCAAGCAGCAGACACCAAGATGAGACTAGGTATACAAAGGATTTATTGTAACGAAAGCATATGAAAGATAAAGGGAAAAAGAACAGTAGTAAACAGGGAGAGTGATGCAGGTCTAATACCTGTGACAGGGGAGAAGGAAGGGAGGATTTGGTGGGAGTCTCAGACCATGGACCAATTCTGAGAAAATCTTACCCAGTCAATGCAAAGTGCCTGAATTTAAGTTGCCAATTAAAGGACTCCTGCTTTGTGCAGAAATGAACAGGTTCTTGTACCCTGTGGTGCCTAATCATTGACAAGGAACAAGCCATTGAGGGGAAATGTGAACTGACATGAATGTATTAGAGTCAAACATTTGTCAGCTGTCAGTCAGCTATGCTCCCTGCAGCACAATCTTCTGAAGGTAAATCTCAACGAGGTACCTCCACAGCTACCACAACTCACCCTTTGTTCTGATGGGATAAGTTCTTCCTTGTATGTTTGGGAAGCAGATTTGCCATGATTCCTCTGGACTTCTTTTCCTAGGGGAAACTTAAGAAAAGAGGAAGATTAATAGGATGGACTACAACTACTGTCTCCCTTAACTGCAGTTAGTTTCAAGTCACAATTGTTACTCACTATTCCCTTCTTTCTCTATTCATTCTAAGTTTTCTCCCTCTCAGCTACCACTTCCACAAGACATTAACATTAATCAGGTAAGTCTAGCATATTCAATTGCATTTATGCTCCAAGTTTAGGGATGTACTTTATGGTAATATGTTCATGAGATGGACAATGTGAAAAGTTCCTTCAGGACTAGCCAAGGACCCCATACATGTCTGTTTAAAAAAAAAAAAATGAATCACCGCCCCTTAATTTTATTTTATTTTTTTAACTTTTTTTTATTATTTTTATTATTAAGGCTACATTCATTTACAACACTATATGATTTAGAGGTATAAAATCACACCCCTCAGTTATATGTTACCACCCCCACCACCTCCAAAGTACCAATATTCCTCCACCATAGCCCACTGAACATACTGCCCACTTTGCTCTTTCCTCTTTTGTTCCCCCTCTGGTAGCCTCAAATCTATAGTCAGAATTCTAAGATTTGTTATTGGTTTGGTTTTATTTGAGCTTTATGTTTGTTCATTTTTCTAAAAATATATAAAATGAAAAAAAAACACCAATACAAAAAAATATATATCAAAATAGATCTACCATATGGTCCAGCAATTCCACTCTTAGGTATCTACCCAAAAAAATGCAAAACCTCCCCTTAATTTTAAACAGTTGTTGTTGTGTTGATATTTGTGAGCAAAAGAAACAAAGTAGGTAGTGAATCATGGGGAATATTTTTAGTAGATCCCAGAAACCACTGTTTTATAAGAAACAGTTTTTGATAGGTTACTACATATTTGTATGGTTTCTCTTTGGTTCTAATAGTGTTATTTTTTATTATTAGAAAATTAACTTTTTTTTCTATACAAGTAGATTTTATCTGGGAGGAGGAAAAAAATCTGACATGCCAAACCTTTGTATACCTTTGAGAGTTTATATTCTTTTATATTTTTATTACTAATTCTCTTTAATAAGCCTGTGTATAAAATTACTGAATTCCCTCAGGCCGCTTCCTTTAATTTTTTGAGTCTCAGTTCCTTGTAAACTATCATGATACTTATTACTACATCATGCAAATACTATTTAACTAAATTTAAAAAAATCTTTGAGGACTAATTGTTACCGACAGTTAAGTACCTGGCATTTTTTAGCTTAAAGCAACTAGACTCTTCTTTTTAAGCAACGTAACAATTAACATTTCAACATGTTTTTAAGCAGTCTGCTTAAGTGGCAGAAATTATTTAGCAGAAGATCAAAGCCACAGCTTTTGATCAGCATCATAAACATTTTCATTGTACATTTGTATAAGTAAAAATTAAAAGTAATTGGAATTTCTCACATGTATAAGTATTACAATCATTAACATTTAGAACCACTAAAGTCTATGCAAACTAAATTGTACAGTTATTTCAAAGTAACCAAGTAGTTGAAAGTTCTGTTTTATAGGGGGATTCTGGTTAATAATTGCAGAAGAAATCATCAAAATCTTTTAAATCACAATTTTGCAACTTCTAAGGACAGGGTGGGCCATTAAGAGAAATGGGGAATGGAAACCTTTAAAATGGATTGATCTGCTACTTAAAAACACTTGAACCCACTGGTCACAACATCATTCAAAGGGAGACAGTCTTGGTATTCTAGTTGGGATCCTAGAACAGAAAAAGAACACTAGGAGAAAGCTAAGGAAATCTGAATAAGCTATGAACTTCAGTTAATAATAAGGGGTCAATATTGGTTCATTAATTGTAATAAAAGTACTGCAATAATGTAAGATGTTAGCAATAGGAGAAGCTGTGGTGTTGAAGGTGGGGTAAATACAGGAATTCTGTGCTATCTGCTCAACTTTTCTGTAAATCTAAAACAGTTCTAAAAACAATGTCTATTAAAAAAAAAAGTGAAGAAACAGCTATTCTGTTCTTCCTGAAATAATTAAATAGGAAGTACACAGAACCACCTACAAAGAATTCCTGCCAAAAAGATTGAACCTGGAATCTAATCAAGCATCTAGATCAAATTAGTAACTTATAGGAAATGTGGTGGATAGATGACTATGTCAGGGATACAAGCAACCAAATCTGTAATATAGGATCTTTATAAATGGTTCTGTTTCTTAAAGAAATAAATGGAATACAAAAATTGGGAAAGGAAGAATTGTACTTGACTAAAGACAAGTGTTGACTAAATACAATGTGCTAAACTTGTTTGAATCCTGATTTGAAGACATCAGCTGTAAAAGATGTTTGGAAAAATTTGAACATGGATGAGAGATAAAATAATATTAAGGAATTATTGTTAATTTGTTAGGTATGATAATAGTATTGTGGCTATTTTTTAAAGTCTATTAGATACATATCTGAAATATTTCAGTTTAATGTGAAAAGAATGGAAATGTTTCATATTTTTCTACATGGAAAAAGATAAAATTGGATCCGTACCTTACAGCATTAATAAAAATAAGTTCCAACTGGATTAAAGAGCTAAAAGTAAAAACTTCATCCTGCAAAAGTCATTATAAACTACATGAAAAGTCAAGCCATTTCTATGTAGATTCCCTAGAGAAAACTGAGTACATATGCATTGTAGCATTTTTTGTAACAGAAAGAACTGGAAACAGCGAGTATCCACCAGTAGGAGAATATAGTCACTATGATTTATTCATACAATAGAAATCCAACACTAAATATAACAAAATAAATAAATCTCTAAAATTTAATGTGTTTTTAAAAGTAAATTTCAAAAGACATAAATTATGCCAGTTGTATAAAAATCTAAAAACAAAAACTACTATTTTTCATTCCTATTAATGGATACATCTAATTCATAGCTCCATTCTGAAAGCTGGTAGGAAATTTAGGTTGTAGTCTATTTGTGCCCCCCCATGTTAGGCCCTTATTAGCTGCCTTTATTGATCGCCTTACTTTCCTGTTATACTTCCTCATTTCCCTACTAGCCCAAATAAACTACATATATTTCAGTTTTCCTGGGTGTGCTTTACAGGGAATCCAAATGAAGGCAATAAAACATTAGGGCATCCTCAACTCAACTCAACCCCTTTATTTGTAAATGAAAGGGTTGTTTCATCATGATGTATTCAAATGCCATACTTGCGGCATGTAAACTTCTTTAACCTCCTTCCATGCAGTTCTTTACTCTATTTTTTTAAAGATTGATTTATTTATGCATACAAGAACTGGCCAGAGGTGCAGGGGGTGAGAGGATTCACCAGAGACAGAGTGGGAGCAGAACAGGCAGATCTACTAAAATACACTGCTCATGGGAACTGTGGGTGAGACAGAAGAGGTCTGCTGCACCATGTGGGTCACCTCCCTGGCTGGGGATCAAACTTGTGCTGCAGTGGCTGTGGATAGCTTCATAGTGCTGCGTCTTAACCCCTTGCACCACCAGGGAGGCCCCAGTTCTTTACTCTAAAATAAGACTGGTTTAACTTCTTTAACAGTAATTAATTTAATAGCACTAAAATTTTGATAACATGTTTTCAAGAATGTAAATAGTACAAATGCATGTAAGAATATACATCAACAAGATATTATAGTAATGACTCATCGGTTAAATGTGATCCTAGATCCGTGATACATCTTATGAGTGTGTTATACTTCACTAGGCTTAATCTTCTATCCAGATGCTTGAGATATCTACTTACTGGAGAGCTGTGTGCTAGCCAGAATATTTCAGAAAGAAGATTCATGAAATGAAAGAAATAACAAACATTAGGCCCTCTGAGACCTTCTAGTTAGATAGAGGGTTCTCCTTCCAATCCAGCAAGTGGTTTGGCTCCCTTCACCACACCTTTTATTTCTAGGTTGGTCTCTCAATTCAAATGAATTTGGATTCATGGGGATGGGCTAGTATTAGTATCACTATATATCATTATGTGTTCCTTTTGAACTCAATAGAAAACTATTAAATACTAAGTATAAGATTCTGTAGTAGAATTCTAGGGCCTCCCGGTGGCGCAGCGGTTGAGCGCTGGGTTGCGAAGCTGCCCGCAGCCTCTGCAGCGCCAGTTCGATTCCCGGCTGCTCCCCAGCCACGGAGGAGGGTCCCACATGGCGCGCAGACCTCTCCTGCCGCCCGCTGCTCCCCTCAGCAGTGTACCTCGGTCCTTCTGCCTGCTCTGCTCCCCGCTCTGGCTCTGGTGAATTCTCTCACCCTCCTGCGCTTCTGATTGTACCCAGTGCTTGTATAAATAAATAAATAAATCTTTAAAAAAAAAAAAAAAGATTCTGTAGTAGAATTCTAGTCTCTCCAAAATCTAATTTCTTACTATACTAAAGCATTTAGTTTATACTGTGTACTTGCATGTCATTCCTCCATAAGTGCATTAACTATTCCTCTTTCAAAGGACTATTTATTACCTTGGTGATTTCCAAGGGCTGGCAAATCACCACCTTTAAGAGTATCATGCTCTAGCAGCTGAGCTAGTTGGACCAAATCACCTCCTTTAATTTCCACCCCTCTCCTCCTCCACTTCTTACCATTATCCCTGAGGTAGGAAGTGTCCAGTTACTTTAGTTTCTCAGTTAGTAATAATGAACACAACTCTGAAGCCTAGATAAGGCTTTATTCTAGTAGCAATTAAAGTACAGCCACATTCCCTGAGAAGCTGCCTTCCTGTTTACTGAATCAGTTTAAGAATAGGGAATTGGAGTTCAACATATTTGCTTTTAGTTGAGTCACATGTAAAAAAGAGTACTATGATATGTTTTACTTTTTTAATTATAAGACTAATTTTGCACATGAATGAAAATTTTTGAACAATACTGCAAGGTATGAAATAAAAAGTAAAGATATCTCAATTCTTTCAATAATGTATATTGATTACTAATTATGAAAGATAAAATTTAATATTCTTACTTCTCACTTTTCTTTGCCTCCTCTTCCTTTCAGTTTTGTTGTTATACCCTTATCACTGTAAATTATATACTTAGGTCTTTCTTAATCTATCAGTGTTATATTTTACAAAATTAAAGTGCAGTTGTTATCAATCTCTAGAATAAGATAGCTGCATTGTCTACTGCATTTAAAAATAACCAATAATTTTTATGGCGTTGAAAACTATTAGGATTCTTTAATTTATGGGGCATTTGGTATTGAACTAATAAAAAGTTAACATTAGATTTATATAGCATTTCTAGATTTTAAGGAAATTATATATTGAATCTTTTTATAAACTCAGACTGTGAAATATGAAATCTCATTTATATGAAATGAATAGAAAAATATTTATCTGAGACTTTATGACCTTTCTCATATCTCTTTAACAACTCACTTTTATTAGAGAAGGACTAGAATTTTTGTGGTCAATCTAGAAGATTATGTCCTTCTATAAATAGTTCTTATATGTTCAAAATAAGAACTTACAGTGAAAATATCAACAACCTTAATCATGAAGCATACACAGTCTAGCTTATTGCATATTAGAGTACATTTGCTAAGCCTTTGTCATGTGCTAACCATAGTAAGTACCAATTTAGATCCTATGAAATAACATTTAATTTAAGACTAAGCAATGGAAATACAAAGTTATTATATAAGAAAGGTCCCCAACCATTTCTTGTTCTATTATCTACAGGAGGAAAAAAAAAATCTTCCAAGAGAGTTAGAACAGGGAAGATTATCCCAAAAGAAAATGAAAATACTGAACTTTCTACATAGATAAAAATGCAAAACAGATGTACTATGTGTTGTCAATTATTACACCTTTGCTATAGGTAAAAAAGTGAGATTAGATTAAGTGAGATTAGATTAAAGGAGAAAAATGTGGAAAATAACTACCAGGCAATATTTAGTATATATGTTAGAAACACTATTCTAGAAAGAAATTATTTTTAACTGATATAGAGTACTTAGTATAACTTTAAATTTATGTTTGCTTAGACCTGTATTTAGGAGAAAAGAGAATAACTATATCTCAAATTTTATAAATATATACAGTCCTAAGACTATATTCTGAAAATTTCAGATCTCCTGTGGTTCCTCATAAAAGCTATATAATGCCACCAACTGTTAGTTTTCCAAAAATAAAGTTTGACCTTTCATCCTGCAAGGATTTTATATATTAGTGTTAGCTGGAGACTGAAGAGCCCACCTGAATCCTGCCAAAATTGTTGGTAGGCAATGTGCCAATGTGAAAGGCATTCTCAGTTGGGATTTGAAGAGCTAGATTATTATTTCAGCTAGTTTTTAACCTCTCTGAGCCTTAGTTTCCTCATCTGTTATTGGAGATATGTTTTCTTTACCCCTACTTCCCTGAGCAATTTTTAGGGTCCAAATGAGATAATGTATCTGAAAATGTTTTTTAATCTACAAATACTTCACACATACTTATTATTATTTCAACATATATTCATGGAGAACCTTACACATGAACAACATACTAAGTAATATGAAAGCAGATGACAAGAAATGGATTCTACCTTTAAGAACAAAGGGATATCCTGCTGCAACAATAAACAGCTAGGAGCACAGGGATAAGGAGGGAGAAAGGAAGTTTAAGACAGAGGAGAGACATTAACCAACATAATTTATCCATTTGCTTAGAGCTATGATATTTGACAACATCTTTGGTCTTCAATATAGCATTCCACAGAGTGAGCTAGGAAAATAAAAGAGTTACTTCTCAACTTTTCAATATTTCACTTATCATGGTAATAAATTCCATCTACTTATCATGATAATAAAAGTTAATTTTTTAGATTAAGTGTATAGGTATCTTTTTAAGTTCTCATAAAACCTTGGGAGGCAGGTATTATTAATCTTTTACAGATGAAAATGAATAGAAAAATATTTATCTAAGTTTTTATGACCTTTCTCATAAGTTCAGGAAATTTAGAGTTACTCACCCCAAGACTCAGACACTAAATGTCTGACCCAGATTTCTGACTCCAGATCTAGTGCTTAGAATTTCCATTTACTAAAGCAGTTTCTTCTACCATCTCTTGGTCAGCCAGAAAAATATTATTCCTACTCCTATATGAAATTGACAGCTGTGTAATAGCCAAAACTGAAACACAACCCGAGTGTCCATCAGTACAGAATAGACAAATTGAGGTGTAATCATATGAGAAAAAGTATTTAGCAATAAAAAGAAAGAACAACATAGGTGAATCTCAGAATAGTTATCCGGAGTGGAAAAAATGCAGGCAAGAGAGAATATGTACTGTTTGATTCAATTATATATAAAATTCTGAAAAATGCAAACTGATCTCTAGTGACAGAAGGTAGATTAGTGGTTGCCTGGAGATATGAGTAGAGGGAGGAAAGAATTACAAAGAAGTAAAAAAGGAACTTTTTGGAGTGTATAGAAATTTTTTTTTTTAAGATTTATTTATGCATACAGGAACTGGGATACAGGCCAGAAGCTCAGGAGGGTGAGAGGATTCACCAGAGACAGAGCGGGGAGCAGAACAGGCAGACAGACTGAAAACACTGCTGAGGAGAGCAGCAGGCGAGACAGGAGAGGTCTGCCGCGCCATGTGGCTGTCTCCCTCAACGACCGGGATTCGAACCCGCATTGCAGAGGTTGTGGACAGCTTCACAGTGCTGCACTCAACCCACTGCGCCACCGGGGAAGCCCTGGAAATGTTATTTTGACTGTGGTGATGTATATATATGTTAAAATTGATCCAATTGTACACTTTAAATATTTGCAGTTTAGTATACCAATAAAGCGATAAAATAGGGGGTTAGCAATGAAAGAAAAAAATATTGTTCTAATATCCTGTAGAATAGTCTGATTCTTTAAGAGTAGCCTATGTTTTCCATAATTCAAGAGAGTTCATTTAATTAGGTCAGTTTTATAATTTCTCAATTTTGACAGTAAATGGTTTTCACAACACTGACACCTTTATTTTTAAATCTGGACATGTTTTGAAAAGTTGAAGAGTGTTAGGATTCTTTCTCAGTAAGTGGCATATCTGTCTCAAATGTCTTTGTTTGCAAGAATTTCTAAGAGGAATAAACTACTCTCACTGCACCCAGGATTTTATGTGGTTTTGGAACTGTAAAAAAAAAAAAAAAGAATTACTCCTAGATTACTTTATTTTGGTGTTTTTGTTTTTTTTTTTTTACAGATTTATTTATTTATGCATACAAGAGCTGGAGTGCAAGCCAGAGATGCGGGGAAAGAGGAGGTGCGGGGGTGTGCATGTGTGAGAGGATTCACCAGAGACAGAGTGGGGAGCAGAACAGGCAGATCAATACACTGCTAAGGGAAGCAGCAGGCAAGACAGGAGAGGTCAGCTGCAACATGTGGTTTCACTCCCTGGCTGGGGATTGAACTCATGCTGCAGTGGCTGTGGATAGCTTCATAATCCTGCATCTTAACCCCTTGCGCTACCAGGGAGGCCCCAACTCTTAGATTACTTTAAAGGGAGAGAATCTATTGCAAAGCTACACTGACAAAATTTGAAACTGCATTTTAAACTGGAATGTCCATTAGGATTAGAGACATCTCTAAGAATTAGCTACCTTTCAATCTTTCTTCTGGGTCCATTTTTTCTCTTTTAGATCACCCTTTTCTTATATATGTCTCTTCTGTTTTACTTCCTCTACTCATTGTTTTATTCTTTCTTTTTATCTTGTTATACCTAAAATGTCTTCAGTTTGTCCCTACAGATCCACTCTTATCCTTCTCCACAGTGTTCTTTCCTATGTAAATTATACCAACAAAATGAGGTTAATGTGTTTATTCTCATCTCCTTGCAAGATCACTGTAGGCAGACTATATCCCTAAATATTACTGCCCCTGTCATTGTGATTTGCTCTACACAACTTTCCCTTCTTCTTTCCCTTGTCCCTTCAGGTCTAGGGGTGATAATAGCTCTCTTGTTATCTCAATTGGGCTCCTCCATTCCCTGGTTTTCTTACACCCAGACATTTGTAATTACTTCCTTTGTACATAAAATCTTCAATTTATCCTTATTTGTACATGCCATCTGTTTCTTGTTAGGGCCCTGAATTTCATACCTTTTCATCTTTTACCTCAGTTTCTGCTTCAGTTCACCATAATCCAGTATGACTCCAATTCTTATCTGACATTCTCTGTATTTGCCAATTTTAGTATCTGAGTAGAGAATCTCAGGCAATTGGCTCAATTTGTTTTTTCATGCCAGGCTATGTAGGAGGTCACAGACTAGCTTATGGACTGGAAACTCTTAGAACAGGTGCTTCTCCCTGGGCCACACACCCTGAAAGGTGAAATTGGAAAGATGAAACAAACGGTAGATTGCCCTGTCTTCAGCAACTGTGAGTGAGAGGATTTCTCTTAGAAAGAAATTTAAATATGGAAGGTACAATAATTGACATGAAAAAATTTTTGAATGAATAAAATATTTTAATTTATATTAACCATGCTAATAATTGGGAATGTACTACTATCTAACCTCCTATGACCTTCCCACTAATCTTCTTCGTCTTTATCACCTATCATGACCCAAAATAATCCAAGACTTGAGAATGACTAAAATCGTGTTCTCTACAGGGTAGCATAAACAGCTGAAGTGTCAGAAGTAACACAGATAAACACCCTAAAACTGTAACTTATTTGCTTTATTACTCAAATTTCCAATTCCTCATATGTAAATATATTTACACTAACCTTATAGAGTTGTTATGCAGCTTAATAAGAATATTATCCAAAGCATAAAACATAGTAATACTCAGTAAATGCTAGTTGTTATGATGACATAGGCTTATTTTAAGTAAGCATTCACAGCAAACACTTTTTGGCTTAATTTAGAAAAATTAAAAGGGAGGGTTAAAAAAGGAAAGCAGGTTATTACTCCTCCTATTTACCCTACTTAGCTGCAGGGACCTAAAATCTTATGCTGTGAGTGCAATCATACCAAATTTCTGCATCAGTCCACACCATACCTAGTAATATATTAGAAATACAACTTCTCTCAGCAGATGAGTTTGAAATCACTTCAAATAAACATATCCTACAAACCTACTATATGCCTACCCCTCAAGTCTCATTATTTTGAGCAGACTGTGGAATTTTTATTTTGATTGCTGATTTGCATTATTTTTCTGCCTCAGTACCAGAATCCTAACTTGAACCCTATCTTGGCTGCCTTGGACCCAAAAACATTCTGCTTAGTCTAGCACTTGGCATTTTCTTCTCCCTGGAACTCATCCAAACTCTGTGTATCCAGCTGATGGCTAGGCACCTACTTCAAACTGGAAAAACCCTACTAGCCCTATTCTCATCCTTATTTGACTAGAGACAGTTTGGTAAATAGATTTCACTCCAGTTAACAATTTACTGGTAGTTGCTGTTTGGAACACTGTGTTGAGAATTGTAGGACCTTTTCTGGGTGAAGTAGAGAAGAGATCCATAAATGATAATGAAAGTCTACTTTGCAAGCCAGATTGGGGGATGTGGAAGGGAATGGTGATGGAATGTGTGCCCCACATTCAGCAACACTGACTCGCAAATTCCTACTGCTTGATACCCATACTAGATTAGATTCCTTGTACATTAATGCCAGCAATTTAAGTTTGAGTTTTTCCACATGCTTTTGAACATTGTGATTTAGACTGAGGTTACTCTCATGGGGTTGGTCATTCCATCAGTCAATGGCTAATGATCATTGTTCTTCTCAAGGCAGGCGGGCTGTTCTACATAACCTTTCCCTCTAGACCTAGATTGGTGATAACAGTTTCTTACTGTAATAAGCCCCTGGTTACTTCTTTATCATTTGTGGTTCCCCTACACTCCACCTACACCTTTATAAATTGTCTCTTCTCAAATTATCCTATTTTGAGTGTGCCATCTGTTTCCTTTTGGTACCCTGACTAATACAAGTACTATGTACCAGGCACTGATAATACAACAGTAAACAAAAGATATAAATTCCTTCTTTCTGGAGATTACATTTTAGCAAGTTTCAAAATGCCTTACAGTCAGGTCTTCATAAGTTATAGTCTTGTCCGTCTGAAATTTATATGCCTGTTTTGTCATAGTCACAATTAAAGAAATGACACATGTTCCTGCAAGTATATTTTTGGATAAATCCCTGTAATTAGGACTTCAGAAAATCCTAAGGGCATAAACTCAGATTTCCTCAAACCTATTGTGTGTTGCCTTTATTTATTAAACAAATATTATTAAAAGTTTCAGTGCTCAATACATGTTAGAACAGGGTAAACTAGCCTGTTACTACATCTAGGTATCAGGTAAGGGAAGTAGGAAAAGGAAAATTCAAAGATGAATAGGACAAGTTTTGTGAGAAATAGACTCATAAGCAATCACCATATATTATAAAAAGTCTATAATAAAGGCTTGTGAGAAGTACTATGAGAGTACAAAGGAGAGAATGACTAATTTATATGAGGGGTTGAGAAAAGCTTCTCGAAAGAGATGTTTGACCTGAACTTGGGTGGATGAGTATTACTTTGCCAGAAAGAGAAAAAGAGGAGGATATTTAGGAAGAGGAAAGAAATTACATCAGAAAAAAACAATAGTTTGTTTTGTAATATAGGACACTTCTTTGGGAATAGTGGCAAGGAATGAGCCTGGAGAAGTATGCAAGATTCAGATTTTGAAGGGGATTGTACATGAAGAGTCCAGAAATTACCCTAGTAACAGGAAACACTTCAATGAATTTTAAATAGAGAAGTGGAAAAATCAGACTTATGTTTTAGAAAGAAAATTTGGGGAACAGTGGAAAATGAAAAGATCAAAAACTCAGAGAACACATAGACTTTATTGCATCCATGTAGAAATTCTCAGCACCTAAATTAAAACAATGACAGTGGAAATGAAGATGGGGCTGAATTACATTGATATGTAGGAGGTGAAATCAATAGGTTCTGAAGACTTCTTTTTCTCTGATTCCATGCTCACCTAGCAACCTTACAATTATAATTTGTCTTCCCATATAAAGTTCTTAAAGGAAAAGAAAGGACACAATCTTGAAGGCACAAGTATTAATCCTCTTGGCAGTTATACTTTTCATTGTAAAATAAACAATCCAACATTCTTATTTTATATATTAGTCAACACTTTGAGAGTTCTGGCACTACTTTTTGGTTGACATACCAGGCTTCTGAGTGTACAAGACAGTAGGGCCTGATCTTAACCTGTGAATTCACCCAGGTGGTACCCATCCCATAGGGATCAGTTAGACAACTTTGCCTTGGCAATACCCTGACTTCTATATATACTCTCTTCTTTGAAATTCTTCACCAACGTGTGAAGAGATATTAATCACGTGACACAGGACACAGTAGTTGTCTTAGAACAAAAATATTCTAGTCTCTTATTTTTCCAATTCTGCTATTAAATCAGGGAGATGATAAAAAATAAAAATCTGTTGTGTTCTCATAAATGTACTAATCTGACATGTTGAGAATCAATGTCTACTTACATCCATGTAGGTTGAGATTTTGAACTCCATAAATATTGGCAATGGTGCTAGGGACAATTCACTGTCCATTACATCTGGGCAGGATAAATCACTAATAGAATTGCAATTTCTTCTAAAGATCACTAACACAAAGAGAGATAGGTTCATGAGATAGGAAGAGGCAAGAAAATTGCTATTACCTGCTTGCCTTCTTTAGATTCCAGGCCTTGTCATTTAGGAGAGTAATATATGGGTTAATAGCATTAGCAACACTTGGAAGCTTATTAGGAATGTGGAATCTCAAGCCCCATACCAGTCTCACTGAATTTGACTTTGATAACATCTGTGGGTGATTCAAATGTACTGTAAAGTTTGAGAAGCACTAATCCAGGATATGATTTACAAGCTGCAGTTACAGCCTAATAGCGGGTCATGAAATCACTTTAGTGGCTTTGCCAGCATTAAAAAAAAAGTGGAACAGAAAAGTCACAGTATATTGCATGTAAAGAGTAAATATTTGTTTTCTGAAACTCTTGTTTTAGTTTTAAATATGTTTCTGTTTACTGAGTCTTGATGGAAAATGTGGGTCCAAGTTTTAAATGTTTCCAAATTTCTGATTAGGGCACTATTTCTCAAAACATTGTCTACATTGGAATCCAAAAAGTATTTA